AAGATCTTTAATCAGTTATGGAGAGTTACTTATTATCTCAGAAATGCTTACTTAGTCACTGACTAAGAAACGAACTGTGTGCAGATCAAAGACAAGGAGTTAGGGTCAAAGGGCAGAGAGCAAAGGCCAATGAGCAGATAGTTTGACCTTCCTCCTCAGGTTTTCAGAGCTAAATAATGAAGAGACTGGACAGCTGTGGTGGTGAGTAGTGTGAATGATGTATTAGACATGCTGGGCTAAGAGACCCAAATACATCAAATCAGAAAGATCACTTTCTCTTTCTTCCTTGAGACCCTGATTAAAGTCACCCACAAACCCACACCTGTGCCTTCTGATCCCCTTCTCAGCTGTTCTTTTTGACCACAATAGACTTTGACAAAGCTATGGTTCTTTGCCTTTAGGATTTCCAGAAATGAAATCAGAGGGGCATATCTATTTGCTGGTGTTAAATAATATTTAACTCTGAGAGGTTAATGTTTAGTTACACACTTCTTTAGAGGACATATCTGCATGGCATAATGCTTCTCACTTACATAGATCTAAGATGAATCAGTCTTCTCATTTCTTTCCAGTTTATGATTTGGGGTGCCTTCCTGGTCCTTAATAACTTCCATTTAACTACAGAATACTTGTTTTAAGCCTGTAACAAATACTTTTGTGTTCTATAAAAAGGGCAAATTTAAGAGTCAGATGGCAAACTAGGCTCTCTGGACCCCGGTTTTCAAAACGAAGAGCTGTATCTTAATGACAGGTCACAGTTAATGGAGAAATGGTTGTTGGCATTACCCTGGATTTCAAGGACCTTTGTTCAGCTTCTAATCTATCATGATAAAATCTCAAGAAAATTTCATACTCATTTAAATTGAAACAGCATTACTGAAGGCATCAAGGTAGAAATGAAGACAAGCTGGGCTAGAGAGATGGCTCAGCAGTCATGAGTGCAGACTCCTCTTCCAGAGGACTCAGCTTGGATTCCCAACACCCATGTCAGGAGGGTCACAACTGCCTAGAACTCCAGCTCCAGGGGACCTAACACCTCTGACCTCTGTGAGCAACTACTTACACGAATCGCATGCACTTCCACACATGCCCACACACAATTTTAAATAAATAAATAAATAAGCCGGGCGGTGGTGGCGCACGCCTTTAATCCCAGCACTCGGGAGGCAGAGCCAGGCGGATCTCTGTGAGTTCGAGGCCAGCCTGGGCTACCAAGTGAGTTCCAGGAAAGGCGCAAAGCTACACAGAGAAACCCTGTCTCGAAAAACCAAAAAAAAAAATAAATAAATAAATAAATAAATAAATAAATAAATAAATAAATAAAACTTAGAAAAAATAAAGACAAGCATTAGTTGGTAGGAATGGAAGAACGTCTGGATTCTGCTTACAGGACACAGCAGTAAAGAGATGTTTGCTTGTCTAGATAGAACATGCTTTCCCATTCCCCCCCTATCAGCTCAGCTAGCTCACACCTCTCAAACCTCAGCTGCAAAACCAAGTGACCCTTGAGGTTCACTTGCTGCCAACAGAGTTTATATGATGAGAAGAGAGGCTGGAAAAGGAAAAAAGAGGGGCTGGAGAGATTGCTTGATGACTAAGAGCACTGGCTGCTTTCCCAGAGGACCTGGGATTGATTCCCAGCACCTACACAGCAGCTCACAACCATCTGTAACTCCAGTTCCAGGGATCCAGTGCCCTCTTCTGGCCTCTGTATGGACTAGGCATGAATGTGGTTCACAGACACACATGCAGACAAAACACCCACACACATAAAATAAAATGAAATATACAAGGAAGGAAGGAAGGAAGGAGGGATGGAGGGAGGAGGGGAGGAGGGAAGGAAGGAAGGAAGGAGGGAGGGAGGGAGGGAGGGAGGAGGGAAGGAAGGAAGGAAGGAGGGAGGGAGGGAGGGAGGGAGGGAGGGAGGGAGGGAGACCAAAGGAGCAAGTATAGCTAGGTCTAGCACAGACATTGGATTTCTCGCAAGGGAATAGGCTTGTGTTTCAGTTACCAAATGCAACATGCACACATGCACGCACGCTCACACTGAAGGTCTCTTTCTCATTTCTTTTTAAAAGGATAGTGTTTGAAACCAGATTTTTGTGTGTGTTCTACTTGGTGAAAGCAGCATGAGTTGTTTTCTACAGTGAAATTACACCTGGAGTCTTACTCAGCTGGGGTATAATTTGCAAAAAGAAGCTAAGAAGCCTGACACCTATTAGACATGCCATGAAAGTTACAACCATTCCTCTTTCTTCCTGGGTAGAGGCTGAGAAGGAGTGAGCAGATGGCTATATCGGAACCACCCTAGTCAGGCTTTGGTAGAGGACTCAGAAGCAGGTGGATGAATCAGCTCTTCACGTGTTGATGCTTCACAGTGACAGATGTGGCAAGAGCTGAATAAAAGGGTGAAGAACAACTGAGCACCCAAAGGACTCAGGAGCCACACATCTACCCCAGGGAAGCCACAGACTAGGACTCTGCAAAGGTTTGGTCCCAATGCCCACCCCTTTATGCTGGGGTGGAGCTTAGCACTGGACAGAAGCCTTGGGTGTATATGGAGAGAAGGGAAATAGAAATAAGGCAGGTTCTCCAAGACTGAGACATAAACTTGGGGGGCTGGGGAAGTGTTCATGAGTGGGCCCCATCAGCCCTGTCCTTTTATGCATCTTCCTTTCCATTCACCTTCAGAAGTCTCCCGTCATACTTAGCTACTGACTGCACCCCACGGCTTGACACTGAAGCGTTAGATAAGTGGCGTCCTACCATACAGCTCATTTTACCCTCTCTCAGACACACGTCACCTCTTCTGCAGCCCAGGTCGTTTATACTCCACCTCCCTCTCACACATCTATCGACTTTTAATTTTTCATGTACTTTGCCATGAGGAAGGGGACTATCAAACAAGATCAAGTTTAAATGGCACTTTTGATGAGATACTATAAACTGGCATATTTTATTTTTTCACTGGTGAAGTGTAATGTAAGTTCCTTCATGGTATATTTAGGATATTTAAATTTAAAAAACAGAGCTCTTCTTAAAAATATATTATAGCCTTTTCACTTGATCCTAATACATTTATTTTTAAATGGTCAAAGTGGCAAAACTTTTGATAATACAAGATAATCAACATTAGTTGAGACTATTCTTTTAAAATAGATTTTAAAAAGATTTTGTTTTTATTTTTAAGCATGTGTGTGTGTGCTGGATACGTGACTGTGAGTGCAGGTGCCCATGGAGGGCAGAGATGTTACTGGAGCTGGAGTTACAGTTGTGAGCTGGGAATCAAACTTGGGTCCTCTGCAGGAGCAGCATGGGCTCTTAACTGCTGAACCATCTCTCCAGTCCTAATTTAATCTATTCTCATTGCTTTAACACAAACTAATTTGTGTCTTGTCTCTATTCTCTCAGATAAGTATTATTATTATTATCCTAGTCTTAAAATGAGGGATTGAGGCACAACAGTTTAAACAACTTTCTTAAATATCAACTAAGTGGTAGATCTGGAATTTAAACCCAGATCGTCTGATTCAAGATGCACCCGCTATTCTTAAAATATTTAGCCACAGAGCTAGCCCTTAATGTACTGTCATTACATTTAATATTAATGAATTTTGAGAACAGTGTATTGAATGCCTAGCTACTGGGGATTGAATAACTAACATAAAATACAAGCCAATGTTCTCACAGAGCAGAGGCTGTGGGAGACAGGCTATTATTCAAGAACTGTATTCATGAAGATATGGATTTCTACTCACAGTAGGATATTTCTAAATACCTGGGCTACTGTGTCCTTTAGGCTTCTTACTGGATGAGCACAGCATATGTTTCCATTACTATTCACCTTCAACTTCCATCTTTGGTTAAGGGGGCTCTGCTTTATCAGGTCATTTCATGGTTCAGAAATCTTTGATGGATCCTGTTTTCCACAGCCAAAGAAGCTGCTGTTCGGTATGCATAGAAAAATCTTTCATGCTCACCCATAGTGGGCTCCGGCAAACCATCAAGGAAATATACATCTGCCTAGTAGTAGTCTTGGAATCTTACCAATAAATCAAGAATTGGCTCTTGAATTCAAATTTTTTAGCCATCTTGGTCCTAGTTTTCTGGTAACAAAAGCATTAGGTGTAGAACTTGAGGCAGACGTGGGTTTGAGTTTCAGTCTCTGCCACGTATGTATAGTGTGATCCCAGAGGAGTCATTCCACTCAAGAGAGCGTCACTCTCACGTACAAACTGGAAATAACGGAACTTCCAGGTGATCCAAGCAAACCATTTAACAAATGCGGCATATACCGCTTGGTAAATAGCATTTATTACTTTTATTATCCATAGCTTAATGCTTTTTGTCACCAGAAAACTTCCAAAGGCCCCATAACTTCCCTGCAATTTATATTTCCATATTTATCTCCCATAGTTCATTAAAAACAACCCTCTATTTCAACCAGTTTTGATAAACCCAGTGTCTCCTAACAACAGCTTGCCATACTCTGTTTTGGCACATTATAAAACCAGCTTTATTCTTCAAGGGCTTCTCCCGTGCTGTCTCCGTGGTGAACTTTCCCTGGTCCCTCCAGCCACAGCTACAATGCTTCCCACTCAGCTCTCATGCTTACTGTTTCCAACCCTTCCATATGCACTGTCTATCAACACTGTTTATATCCACACTACAGCTCAACTCTGCAAGCACACCCTGTTATACTGATCTAACTCTCACTTCCTTAAAGATTGTAATAAGACAGAATCCAATGAAATGATCATATATTCTTACTAGCAAATGAATGAAATTCATTAACTTAAAATTCAGAAAAGTTACTTTTAAATTCCATATATTACACTGAAGGGCTCAAAGTTATTTTAAAAAGTGTGATTTTTGAAATAGAAAACTATGAGAGTCAACCTTTATTGGTCATCGCTGAATTTAGTTTTTAGGATTCACATTTATGATATATTTGAGCTCAATTTATTCTAGACATTAAAAAAAAAGATGCGAACTCTCCACACAATTAGAAGGATTTTAGTTGTGTACTGTATTGTAATTTGTACAGTTTTCTTTAGCATGTACAAAATCCAATATACTTGTGACGTAAGGAGTCTTAAACAGTTTACATTCTTTTTTGAGTTATGAAATACGATATGTGTCTTTTACCCTAGCTCTGAATAAAGCCAGGAAAGAGTGCAACGATTCCACAATTAGGTGGAAATTCCATGACTGCTGATTGCCACTCCACAAATGGCAGTCACCTATGACAGCTTTTCATCACTTCCTAGAAAAACAGGAAAGCCAGGACATCTAAGGTGTGCTGTGCCAGGCTTGGTGGCCATTGTCACCTGGGGAGAAGGGAGGATTTCCCCACAGACACGGAGCTAGCTGCCTGAGCCAAGTGGCCATCCAGAGTGGAACATCTAGTGATTTTCATGGCTGTTTTTCAACTATCGACACAAGATAGGACAGCTTTTCCTGCTGCCCATGCATCAGATGAGTTCGACCGCTGTACTCTCCGCACACCACCGCCATTTTAAAACAAAATGATGCTGATGCTGCTGGGAAATGATTTTCCCAGTGTCTTCACTGGTCTGTTCTTTGAATGTCCATGTCTGAGAAGTCCCAAACTTGAGGACATTAACCAAGAGAATATCACAGTGAGAGTCTGCAGTTTCTCCGTCTTAGGGTAGGGGCTGTCCAAGCGTGGCATCCTGATCCAACACAACACTGCCAAAGGAGAACTTGTTAGAAATGCAAGCTCTCAGGCTTGGCCAGATCTAGCCAATCAGAGACCAGAGAGGAGCACAGTAAACTGTTTGAAAAAGCCTGCCAGGAGATCCCACACTGCTGCTCACTTCGAAAAGCACTGTCTCACAATAGGCACAATAGGGGAGTTGAGACAATGTGTGGAGAGTAGTAACAGGCTGTTTAAGGTCTTCTTTAGCCCTATGGTTCGGTATCTATTTCTTGTGGATTTTCCATAGTTACTAATTAAACTTGTTTTTCGGCAGTATTTTCTACTGTCTCCACTCCACATATAAGACAATCTACATACAGAGTAATCAATCACATTAACTATCGTCTTTACATCATTCATCCTGTTCCCATTCACAATGGGAGGACAAATTTAAAACAAGCTAGCACCATGGATGTGCTGAGAAACTGAAAGACCTATGGACTTACAATTCTCTTTATGGCGTTAGGCATTACAACCAATGCTTCAATATTATAGAATCAAGTTCACAGAAACTCCATGAAGAAAGTAGGCATTATGATTATTCAGGGCAAGTTATTCCGGCACTCTGTTACTAGAGAGCCATTCTTGTCTTTGAATAAGATTCAAGGTCTAACCTGTGCTAAGTGAGGGAAACACTAGTGTTTTCAGTGTCCTAGATACAGATGGTTGCCCTGCACCACTCTGCACTCAGGGGAAGGCATCGCCTCGGTTTGTCCGCTTGACTTATCCTTCACATCCAGCTGTTCATGTGCATCACTTTGTCCTTCCTAAATGTCGTCAGAAAACCATGGCTCCTGGACATCCTAGTGGCCACTTTCACTAAGGCTACACAAATTTTTCTTGAACTATCTTCAGAGTCATCCCCTCTGTACAACACACACACACACACACACACACACACACACACACACACACACACACACACTATTCTTTATAGCAATTCCATGACCAGTTCTCCTTATTATCCAGAATGCTCTATTTAACACAGACATGACTGTGTTACCATGCACACACACACACACACACCACACCTGCTCCTTCTCTATAGTGATCCCATGACCAGTTCTCCTTACGATCCAGAATGCTCTATCTAACACTGACATGACTGTGCTAGCCTGCACAGTACCTTCCCTTGGATCACAGATGGCTCTGGATGAAGTTCATGTCTTCACGTGATTTTACAAGCCCCCGGCAACTCTTCTAACTCTTCACTTGCCACTTCCCACTTCCGGGCCACAGCGTCAGCCCTGCTAGACTATTTTTAGATCCGAAGAGAAAGCTGTTGGCTCTTGTCTTCGTACATTGTGTTCCTTCGACAGTATACACGTAAGAATCAATTTTGTTTCCTTCAAGACAGAAACTAAAACAAAGGGTAAATCATGGTGTCAGGACATGGAGATGCCTGTGCTAACCATGGCCAGTAAACCCAGGACTGTCCAATCACAACACTTACCTCCACTTACACTGATTTCTAGCTGGTTCTGAGTCACTAGAACCAGAGTGTGTCCATAATGACGTGTCTGAATTCAGACTTGCTTTCCTCAACTGTTTATGCTACAATATTTAACTGCCTCCTAAATTCCAGTCAGCAATCAAAAAGTGATATGACCATGTTATAGGATGTTTGGAAAAAGAAAAACAGGGAAGGTCCATAGTTCACCATTATATAGAAAAATTAATGTAACTACTATTAGAGACCAGGGAGCAAGATCCTTGTAATGTTTACTGATGTTCTCAATGCAGTATGTGTGTGTGTGTGTGTGTGTGTGTGTGTGTGTGTGTGTGTGTGTGTGTGTGCGTGTCTGTCAGAGAGAGAGAAAGAGAGAGAGAGAGAGAGAGAGAGAGAGGTACAAATGTGTATATACATGTGTGTGCAGTTGTGTATACCTATGTATACATGTAGAGGCCAGAGGAGAATGTTGGGTGTCCTCCTCTATGGCTCTCTGCTCTGTTCCTTTAAGACATGTTGTCTCACTGAACATGGAGCTTGGTGATTATTATGTAGGCTGGACACAACCCTCAATGATTCTCCTGCTCCATCCTCCCTTCTGTCCAGCACTGGGGTGACAGCCACATGTGGCCACACATGTCTTTTCAGGTGGATAAGAAGGACTCGAACTTAGGTCCTCACGCTTGTGCAGGTGCTCTTACCCCTAAGCCAGCTCCCCAGTCAACAGTGATGTGTTTAAATTTTAAGTGATAAATATCTGAGTGGAGGGTGACTGACCTATGACCCTGGTGTATAGGATTCAGATAGTCTTGAATATGCCACCATAGTCCATTCAGCGGCTTTGGAGATTTCAAGTGTTTTCTATTGTTGATGGAGATAGTAAGACAAGAGGGGCCTGGAACAGACCATGGAAGCAAAATGAAAGGCAGAGAACTAGGCGTTTTCCTTCAGTGAAGGCTGGGGAAATGACAGATGATCCTTGATAATCACCAGCACCAGGGTAAGACCAGGACTGACGATGAGGTGGATCAGGGAACAGTAGACACAGGCCGTGTCACAAAATAAGAGGGGCATTGTTTGTTTCCTTCGACAATGAGGAACTAATGCTCCTTACATGGGTAACACATACCATCAGCAAAATGAACTAGTCAGCATCATGTTAGAAGAGCAAGTGAAAGCTATCCAGAAAAATTTCTGATAGTCAAAGAAATAAATGAAGAAATTTGATTAGAAATTTTTGTTATTTTCTAGGATTCCAAGTCATGAAAGCTAATTGGAAAAACTGAGTGGCTGTGCCAAACTGAGGGGAACTAAGGAGAAAATGAAATGAAACAAATGATTCTGACCTACGTGCTTCGTGTTCATAAACCTTGAGACAACTGACGGGACTCAGAGTCTGAGATGGTAGCAATATATCACCATCAGTTTCTTAATCTGGATACTCATGATGTAGCTGTGTAGGAAAATGCCTTCTGTGTTAAAAATCGACATTAAGGTACTCAGGAATATGGAACATATGGGCAGTTCACTTTCACCTTCTCACAGAAACTTTCTGTGGTTACTGTACTTGGGGCTTTTCTCAAAAATCGAATTTTCTTCATTTAAAAAATTATATTATTTGTGTACAACACAGCTTGTGTGTGGAGGTCAGAGGGCAACTTGCAAAAGTCAGGTCATCAGACTTGGTGGCGGGCTAAGCCATCTTGCCAGCCTCCAGAAAGTTTTAAGTAGACTCTCAAGAAGTGTGTCATGGGATTGGTATTTTAAAAACTGCCTTGGTGAGTCTCATACACCCAGGGTCAGAGTTCTGTTACAGAGTTTTCATTAGGATAAAAGGGGAAATGCTACATGCTTTCATTCCATGGATGAAACACTAAGCAAACTATTGCCCTTTTCCTCTCAAAAATCATATACTGAAGTCTTTTACAAGTAGGACAATCTCAGTGTGGTGGCGCACGCCTTTAATCCCAGCACTGAGGAGGCAGAAGCAGGCAATTCTCTGTGAGTCTGAGGCCAGCCTGGGCTACAGTAATATCTTGTCTCAAAGAAAAAAGTCAGGGTATGAAAGAGTGTCATGTAGAAGCATGTATGCACAAACAGACCCTGTACTGTAGTATCAGGAACAACTGTTCATTTAAGACCCTGTGCCATTGGACAAGGCAAGTACTGTTATCTATCTTCAGTTCATAGAGTGAGGAAACCAGGGATCAGTGAGATGAGCAGTTTGCTTGGAAGCTATTTGATTGCTGGTGGTCCTTTTATAGTACAGGGAAGCACAGTACTGTGAACGCACGCATGGACCTCTGACCCCGATGAAGGGTCGTGGAGCAACAGGAGCTCTCTTTAGCTATGCACACTGTGTCCAATTTAATGACCATGAATACTCCTTCCACGAACATTCACGATCCCAGCTTCCCAGTCTGTAGCCTTGCTGTCAATGGTCCCGATTTAGTTGTGTCCTAAGAAGCAGAAGGTGGGGACAAACTGTGGAAAAGCCCTCAGGTTTTCAATAACAGTTGCCGCAAAGCTCTCCAGCATAGCACCTTGAGAGTCCACTTTACTTCAGCCTCATGGGCACTGGGTATCACCTCCTTAACAGCCTGCCCACAACAGAAGGTCAGTCACGCTCTGGCGACTCGCTGAGCTCACCATTCTTCTCACTAATGTTTTCTTCAGAACATCCGAGTTGCAGCTAGCAGAGTATCAGAGGACCCCGACAGTGAAGTCATTCTAGGACTCCTCGTATTAGAAATCCATCATGGCCATTTGCTCCTACGACCACAAAACTGGCCTTGTCATGACTAGTGGCATCCATAGAAAGCAGATTTCTACATTCATAACACAAGAGAAAGCCAAGTAGCACACGACAGAGTTAAGCCCCAACTAAGAGAACATTCTTGGCTCTAGCAGCATTCCCAATTACATTATACTGATATTAGAAGTGGGCACAGGAGGAAATGTGAATTATCTAAGATCACGTTAAGCAGGAATTAGCCACATACTAGGCGCTGACACTGACAGAACTCTAACTTCTGGATTTTGAGTAATTCTCTAAATTTCACAGTACTAATTTGAAATGAAATATCCGGTATAGTTTGGCCGGACATTTTTTTTTTCTATTTTGGTAAGACTAAGCACCTCTCCTTATATTAAAACTGGGCAAGGCAACCCAGTATAAGGAATAGATTCCCAAAAGCCAGCTAAAGCCTTAGGACAGCCCTTGCTCCCATTGCTAGGAGTCCCACAAGTAGACCAAGCTACACAATTATCTCTATATAGAGGGCCCAGGTCAGTCCCATATAGGCTCCCTGGTTGTCGGTTTACACTCTGTGAGCCCCTATAAGCCAGGTTAGTTGTTTCTGTGGGTTTTCTTGTGATGGCCTTGACCTTCCTGGCTCCTACAACTCTTCCTCCTTCTAAATTTCATAATACTAATTTGTAATGAAATATACAGTGTAGTTTGGTTAGACATATTTTAATCCTTTTACATTTAAATGTCTTTCTAAACTGTGCCCAATAATAATCCGTTTCAGATTATATGAACAAAAGTCACAGGTATACATTGATAATATTTTAATGGAAAGAAAGCAAATGGTTAACAGGATTTCAGCTTCACTGAGTAACAGATTCTATTCAAACCTAACGTATAAGCCTTAATGTGTCAAAAGGAGAAGGGAATGTTGTTATAAACTGAACTTATAGTAAACACTACTTTTTGATAATTAAAAATAAAACCTGTCATATTTATCAAGTGCATCTAAAATTTACACTAGGGCATAAAGTTTAGGTAAGATTTTAGTAAACTGGAGCTGGAGAGATGGCTCAGAGGTTAAGCGCACTGACTGCTCTTCCAGAGGTCCTGAGTTCAATTCCCAGCAACCACATGGTGGCTCACAGCCATCTGTAATGAGAACTGGTGCCCTCTCCTGGCCTGCAGTCATACATGCTGTATACATAATAAATAAATAAATCTTTTTTTTTAAAAAAAAAAAAAAAAGATTTTAGTAAACTGATGTCTTCAGCTATACCAGAAAATCTTGATGAAGATCATGGAGTCATCCTCTATAGCAGTAAAACTGTAAGCTGCTGAAAATTAGTTATTCCTAGGACATACATAAATGACCCCGTGGTTGTCATAAAAGGAGAGACACTCATACAGAGTTGGAGAAAGGCCATCTTCTCATTAAGTTCTAAACAAATTCTCAAGTCAGTTAGGGTCCTGTTTGTATCTTATCGAGAACCAGGTAAAACGTATCTATAGTCTATTTGGGGAAATAAATTTAAGGGAGTAAGAAAACTTTTATAAAATGTAAGTTATAACAAAAAGAATATATTTTGTTGGCACATACTTAATATAAAAACCAGACACAGGTATAAGAAAATTACTCAGTGAGTGATAATATATAACATAAGGATGGGATATTTAATATGTAACACTGTGATAGCTCACATAAAATGTCAAACAAATTCCATGTGGTTTAACATTTCCATTATAGGAAAATAAAAAGTAAATATTGGAGAAATGGCTTTCTAATGTGACTTTAAAGGCAGAAATAATCTTAAAAGGCCTAATGGATTTTATTATACAAGTAAGAATCAACAAAATAAAACTCAAAGAACTAATGAAATTTAATTTTTTAAGAAAGATTCTTTTGTGTCACCCTCTGGAGTACCTAGGACCGTGGGTGCATGCTTGGTTATATTTGATCTCTTGAGTTATTAGTATAAAGTTATTGGATGGCCAAGAACCAATGCAATCCCAGACTACGAAATGGTTTGAAATGTACAAGAACTGTGGAGATCACTGGTGCACCTGGAGTATAAGCAGGATTTCCACACTGCTTTGTCTTACCTCTAGGAGCCCATCCTCCGGCAGATCTGTACAGTGAACAGCATTCTGAATCTTAGTTTTACCAAAGATTGCTCTGAGGGTCTCAGGACGTAAATGCCGGGCAATTTCCTATGAAATACACACACACGTATAGGTTTAAGTCAGTAAAAGGTATTAGTAAGAAAAAGCATTAGCTACATGAAACATCTTAATTATTTTATTTTGTAAAATCCAAGTTATACATTGAGGGTGCTAATTTTTCTGGGAAACAAAATGAATATATGAAAATTTTGACCACTGAAAATTTTATATTTACCAGTAGAAATTTTTTAAATATAAAAAAATCTTAGTGCTGAATTACTGTATTTATTTGTGTGTGTGTGTGTGTGTGTGTGTGTGTGTGTGTGTGTGTGTGAGAGAGAGAGAGAGAGATAGAGAGAGAGAGAGAGAGAGAGAGAGAGAGAGAGAGAGAACAACCTGTATGTCAGTTCTCTCCCACTATATGGGTCCCAGGGATTGAACTCAGTTGTTAATCTTGGCAGCAGGCTCCTTTACCTGCTGAGTCACCTTTTCTGCCCTGGTGTGGGGGTTTGAATAAGAGTGGGCCCCTGGGCTCATATATTTGACTGCTTGGTCACCAGGGAGTGAAACTATTTGAAAGGATTAGAAGAATTAGGAGGTGTGGCCTTGTTGGAGTAGGTTTGGTTTGTTGGAGGAAGTGCGTCACTGTGAGTGGGCTCAGGTTTCAAAAACCCATGTCAGACCCAGGCCCCATCCCTTCTCTCTGCTTGTGGATCAGGATGCAGCTCTCAGCTACCTCTCCCACACCACACCTGCCTCCTGCTGCTGTGCTCCCCACACCTGCCTGCTGCTGTGCTCCCCACACCACACCTGCCTCCTGCTGTGCTCCCCACACCTGCCTGCTGCTGTGCTCCCCACACCACACCTGCCTGCTGTGCTCCCCACACCACACCTGCCTGCTGTGTGCTCCCACACCACACTTGCCTGCTGCTGCACCCCACACCACACCTGCCTGCTGCTGCGCCCCCTGCCACGTGCTGCCTGCCATGATGATAATGGACCCGCCCTCTGACACTGTAAACCAGCCCCCAATTAGATGCTTTCTTTAGGAGTTGCCCTGGTTGCAATGTCTCTTCACAGCATTAGATCAGTAACCAAGATACACAGCAAGTCCTTTTCTGTGGCCCAGTGTATAATGCATTGTATTGGGAGACAAACAATAATTACATTTCTTTTTACAATGGATTATTAGAACCACATCAAATAAGATTACTGTGAAAATTTTATGAGGTTAGTAAATATCTTAACTTTATTTAAAATGAACCAGTTTCATGGTACTGATTTTATAGTTTTAACAACTTTAAATCTGCTTAGCATTAGATCATCTTCAGGGAGAAAAATGGCCACACATAGCCCTGGATTTAGTGAGGCTAAGATAGATACAGCAATACAAGAGCACAATAAGGAAACAGTACATTTGGGCAAAAGTTTTAAATAGGGAAGAAAGTGTGGACCTGTGTGATGGGGGAGGGAAAGATGATGGAAAGGCAGATTGGTGAGTTTGAGCTCAGTTCATCAGGTAGAAAAGGACCGAGACAGAAGTGAACTGGGAAACAGATCACCAGCGTAGCGGTTCTTAGGTTAAGTGGAAATTCCAGGGTGAGGAAAGGATTGATAATAAGCAGTCTTAAGGCATAACCATGGCTGGAGACAAGATGAGGGTTAGAATGTCGAAGAAAGAGAAGAACAGGTTGTGTGGCCAAGTTACTGAAGGACCGTCCACTTCCGTGGGCATACAAATCAAAATGGTGCCAGGCACATCTATGGTGCATGGATACTGAGTAACACTCACAACAAATTAGGGGTGCTTTTAAAGTATTCATTTATTTAATTATAGCTACATGTCACTGTAAGAGCATGCTGAATCAACATACATTGATCCTATATACCGAATGTGGTCCCATAGGTTAGCAATTCCCTATCATCTCATTGAATTATAACAGTCTAATGTGGCACAATGTACTACCCACCCGACTGTGGTGATACAAGTGTAAGTCATCATTCTCTGCCAGTCATACAGTTATGCACAGTCGGGAACAGCAGACAGTAACAACAAAGGACTAAGTGACCAGTTTATGTATTTCTCATGCTATTCTTCGTATCCTTGGAGTACTCCTACTTATTACAACAACCAGCATGCCACACTACTTGGGGACCATCCTCCACGCTGTCTGCTTAGGCCTTCATTTTGGATCATATAAAAAGGGTCTTGGTTAACTGAAATGTCATATATGCATATTACACATATAAACAACCACACAACATGAACGTGAAATGCCAAGGGTGATCTTTTCTCATCACAAGCCCCATTCATGCTCCAACAGATTCCCCTAATTATTCCTAACAGATTCCTGTTCTTTCTTCTATTAATACTCTATGATGAAAACCACCATGCACACACAATCCATCCTTAACAAGCAGAAATATCTTCCAGCTACAACAAGGCCACACTAAGTACCAACAATTTCGTTTAGTATCACAAATAAATAATCCTTTAGAAAGAATTTATAAACGACAGGTTATGCTGAGAAAATTGGGCTCCTTAAAGAGTAATATTTATTTGCACTTAAAGTCAACAAACTTTCAAACCATCAAATTCCTGGCATATTCATGCTCCTCAACAACCTGGTGCCCAGCTCCAAAGTGCTTGGTTATTTCACATCTCATCACAAGCACTTAAAATTCCGCTCAGGTAATCCTGCAGTGGGAGGGAAAATTCCATCTTAATGAATGCTGTCTAAGTCTACGGCAGTAAAAACAAAAAATTTCCAAACAGTACGGTGACTAGCACAAAACTGAAAACAAAGAAGAGAATGTTTATTTCATTATTCTAAGACTGTGTGCATTTGAATGCCACCGAGTACTGAACGGGTCTGTCCAGTGGGTAAAACACGTCCGGACAAAGAACAAATCGCTCCCGTAGTAAGCTGCTCTTTCAGGCTTCACTGCTGCAGGAGAGACACAAGCAGGAAAAAGCTGTGTCACCTCTCTGTGTCTGGAGAAGGAAGCTGCACCTTCATTTACTCTTCCATCTTTTTACCCACAGTGCCACCCACACCGCTTTGGCAAGGGGACAACAGTCTTTATATTGTCATAGATCCTCTTCATTTGGGAGCCTCTTGATGTTAGCATTCTGGGTCATTCCTGTGTTCCTGAAATTCCCCCTTCACTAATCCCACCTGGTGCCATGATCCAATCTCCTCCTCAGGCTCCTGGATTTCTCTTACCACCCACAATTCAATCTTTTATTTTTCCATACCTTCTGGCTCTCTCTTTCCCATCACATTTAGTGCTGGACATGTCTCTCCAGATGACACTTTAGTCCCTGACTTCTGCCTTTACAACAACATCACCTGGTTATTCCACTGGAATTTTAAACTCCATCTGCCCAAACCTAATCCCATTATCTTCTCTCTAAGGGCTCCCTCTTCCTAATTCCCCACTTCTCATGAACAATTCACCAACATAATCTAGGCAAAAAGCTTTGGCCTCATCCTGAACTGCCTGCTTCCTCCTTGAGCCCACCCCCAGCCTGTCACATCAGAGGGATTTTTCCTCTTGGCACAGCATTCCCCCCACGTCCCCTTCCTACCCTATTGCTACACTTTACTCTCATGATTAGACTCTAGTGGTCTCCTAACAGGCTTCCTTACCTCTACCATTACACTTTTATCCCATTTGTTTACACATATGCTCACTCTTGCTATCCACACAAACTTAACGACAAGGACATACGATCCTTACACAGCCAACACACTGAAAGCTCCTGAAAGGTGCATGGGGGATCAGTATGAATGACTAATCAGATGAGTGGATGGATGAACCAAAGGATTAGTAAGGCCCAAGTTGATAGTCTTTACGGGCGACAGAGTAGAGAAACTCAGTTACTTGGCTACCAGTGCTCAAGGCTCCTTTTCGCTACATTTTCCAGGAGTATTTCTCTCCAGGAATTCTGAAGAAAACTCCTTTGACATATGGAATCACCATTTGACTGACCTATACTTTTTATCTTCATGTATGTGTATGATGTGTGTATATGTGTGTGCGTAGGGGGAAGGCATATGTGTGCCACAGGGCATGTATGGAGGTCAAAGGATGACCTCAGATGTCGATCGTTGCTTTATACCTTGTTTGATATGGAGTCACACTATTTGCCACAATGCACAAAAACCTAGCTGGCTCAAAAGCTCCTGGGTTGCCTGTCTCTCCTCCCATGTCACCGGAGGACACTGAGATTACAGATGCACACCATCATGCCTGGCTTTGCATGGGTTCTGAGGATCTGAACTCAGGTCCTTACACTTGTGTGGCAAACACTTTAGCCACTGAGCTAATTGATCTTTCCTGATCGATTCATCTATTTGTGCACGGATGATTTTATCAGAATTTTGCAAACTAGGGCACATATGACTGAGAATGGAACTGAGAACCCTGAACACTAATTCCATATCTTTGAAAGTGACCTGCTTTGGGACTTAGGATAATGTCACCGACTAAAATGCCAGGTGAGATGGGGACAATCAATCAGAGTAGTATTGCAATATTAAGACAAACTTGAATTCCCTCCAGAACTAAGGTGTCTTCTGGTACAGACACACACTTATGAATAGCTACTATAAACATCAGAGTATGTTACAGTACATGATTTTTCTCCTCATTTGTTAGGCTTATACATTATTATATTTTAAAAATAAATTCCGCTAAAGTGCATTAACTCACATTCTTTTCTTGCCCTTCTGTGGTGATATTGTGTTCCCCCAATATATTGTGCACCCTAATAAACTTATCTGGGGTCAGAGAACAGAACAGGCACTAGACAGACACAGAGGCCAGAAAATGGTGGCACACACCTTTAATCCTAGCATTCTGGAGGCTGAGATCCATCTGGATCTCTGTGAGTTCAAAGCCACACTGGAAACAGCCAGGCATGGTGACATATGCCTTTAATCCCAGGAAGTGATGGCAGGAAGCAGAAAATATATAAGGCGTGAGGACCAGGAACTAGAGCCTGGTTAATCTTTTAGGCTTTTAGCAGCAGTTCAGCTGAG